CTGGAAAAGTATTTAACTTCTCTCAGTCAGTACTACTTTCCTCATCTGGAAAAAGGGAATAAAAATATTTTCACCACTGATCTTACAGGATTATTGGGGAAATGAAGTGTCGGCAAACCTGAAGGCACTAAAGAAATCTCGAGCAGCGGGCTAGCCTGGGATGGGAAGACACGAGTTCCAATCCTGCCTCAGACACTTGCTGGTTGTGTGACCCTGGGTAGTTCCTTTAAACCTCCCGGTTTTTCATTTCTTCCCCTGTAAGGGAGGGGGAGACTAGCAGCACCTCCTCCTAGTGCTGTTTGTGAGGATCAAAGGGGATGATGTGTGTAAAGTGCTTTGCAAACCTTAAAGCCCACACAAATGCCAGTTGTGATGATGATGATGATGATGATGATGATGATGATGGTGTCATTTAGAGGTGTGGAGCAGGTGTTGATCTGCATTGGTGGCTGGTGTCTCCTCAGGACAAGTCCCCTACCCAGGTGAAATAAACATACCCACCCCTGCCCCCCAAAAAAGGCAGAGAGGCGGCACAGTGGTCAGAGTGCTTAGTCTAGAGACAGAAAGTGTTCTCAAGGCCCCGCTGACCTTTGCTGCCACACCACAAATCTAGCCTTAGACACTTCCTAGCAGTGTGACCCTGGACAAGTCATTTAACCTCTATCTGCCTCAATTTCTCATCTGTAAAATGGAGATAATAACAGCACTTACCTCCCAGGGTTATTGTGAGGCTTGAAGGAAGTCACGTTTGGAAAGCTCTTTGCAAACCCTAAAGCAAGATAGAATTGTTGGCTACTATCTTAAAAAAAAAAAATCACCATTAGCCATGTATTCACTCATTCAATAAGGCACATGATGGAATTGTACTCAGGCAAGTCAGCAACTTCTCTGACTGCTACCTGCCCTTTTTCTTTTTAATTTTTAATTTTTCTTGTTTTTATGCCTCCACTTAGTTAGTAGATGACCACCCCTTAAAATAAAGCATAGAAAAAGGGGAAAGACAGGCAGCTCAGCAAAGCCAACAATGAAATACAACGATCACATCTGACAGTATATATTGTTATTGTTCAGTCGTGTCTGACTCTTTGGGACCCCATCTGGGGTTTTCTTGGCAGAGATACTGGACTGGTTTGGCATTTCCTTCTGCAGCTCATTTTACAAATGAGGAAACTGAGGCAAATAAGATTAAGTGACTTGCCCAGGGGCACACAGTTACTAAGTGTCTGAAGTCAAATTTGAACTCAGGTCTTCCTGACTCCAGGTCCAACGCTCTATCCATGACACCACCTGGCTGCCCCCCTGCTGAGAGTATATACAATATTCTAGACCCATAGATCCCCACCTCTGCAAAATAACGGAGGGAAATACATTTACTCCTCACTTCTTCATGGGGGACAGCTCTGGAGCTGGAAGGGTAAGGTCATTTAGTCCAATCTCTTCATTTCACAGATAAGGATATCAAGTGACTTACCCAAGTTCATAGAGACAGGACTGGAACCCAGGTTTCTTCCCCCCAGAGCTGGCACGTTTTGCACTGTGCTCTGCCTGCCCCTTTTTAAAAGGAGAAAACCATTCCCAGGCATCTGGGAGGGGTCCCATGAGCCAAGGGCTCTTTGCCAGGATGCCTATGAATCCCTGGATGCCTGGGTCCAGTTGGGAGGGGCCTGCCCCAGCCCATCTATAGGACAGACAGCTGGCTGCCTACATCCACCCCTACCCATGCCCTCTGCCCTCCACTCTCTGCCCCCCACCCCAGGCTGCTGCCAATAGAGTCACTCAGATATGTTCCCTCTGTGCTCTACTGAGTCCATACTCATGACAAGCCAAGCAGTGGGCAGTTCTTCTAGGAAGAGGAGGGCACGCCTGCCTGCCTGCCAGGGTGTTTGGAGCAGATAAAAATCGGGAAGGGGAGGGAAGCGGTGCTGCGAGGAGAGGGAAAATCCTACCACCTTTGGCCTGGGAGAAAGCTGGGGCCCCGCAGGGAAATGAGAACAATGGGGGGCCCCCCTCCAGGACTGGCCTTTGCCACTTCTTCAGGAAAGCGGCTGCTCAGACCAGCCCCGAGTGAGGGCTGTTGATGAGGCTGGAGCTCCAGCCAAGAACAAGATGGAAAAAGAAATAAACGGGAACAAGCATGTTCTCAAGGCCCCACTGACCTCTGCTGCCTCCCCACATTCAATCAAACATGGACTAAGTTTCCACTAGGCAAGAGCTAGGCTTTGAAATCAGAAAGCCAAAGCTAAGCCTGGAATTAGGAAGACTCGAGTTCAAATCCAGCCTCTTCAGATTCACGTAACCCTGCCTGCCTCAGTTTCCCCAACTGTGAAACAAGAGGACTGTCGTAAGGATCAAATGAGATAGAATTCATAAATTGCCTGGCACACAGTAGGCACTTAATAGATGTTTATTTCCTTCCTTTCCAAATCTAAATGCCTTGCTGCTGTCTGCGTGACCTTGGACCTCCCCAAAGCTGTTTCCTTATCTAGTCCAACTCTCATTTGTAAGGGCTGGACTGGATGACCCTGAGTTCTCTTCCATCCCTAGATTCATGATTCTATGAAGAAGAGATGAGAAAGGACTCTTCTCTCCCTTCCCTTGCAGGAATGGGGCGAGGTGGTTGAGCCACACTGGATATATTGTCCCTCCTAGCTCTGGGCCCATGATTCTATGAACTTTACTTTGGGACCTTGTACAAATCAGGGAACCTCTCTGGGCCTCAGTTTCTTTATCTGTCAAATGACAAGAGTTAAACTAGATAACCTTCAGGCCCCTCTAGCTCTGAATATATGATTCCAGGGTCCCTAATTATCATCTCTATGCAAATGACTCTCAAATCTACATTTACAGCCTTAATCTCTCCTGAGCTCCAGGCCTATATCACCAACTGTCTGCTCGCCATCTCCACTTGGATATTGCATCATCATTCTCAAACCCAACAAGTCTAAAATGGAACCCACCTCTGCCCCCCCAAATTCATTCCCTCCTCCAAACTTCACTATTTCTCTTCAGTCATCCAGGTTCCAAAGCTCAATCACACTTAACTCCTTCCTCTCCCTCATCCCCCTTAGTCAATCAAATCCTATGATTCTGCCTCCATGACACCTCTCTTATCTGTTCCTTTATCTTCCTCCCATAGCCAACAACCTACTTCAGGCATTCATCATCACTTTCTCAGACTATTGTAATAACCTCCTGCTTGGTCTCCCTGTTTCTATCCTCTTCCCCCTCCAATCCAACCTCTACATTGATTCCAAAATAACTTTTTTTTTTTTTTTTGGTGAGGCGATCAGGGTTAAGTGACTTGCCCAGGGTCACACAGCTAGTAAGTGTTAAGTGTCTGAGACTGGATTTGAACTCAGGTCCTCCTGACTCCAAGGCCAGAGCTCTATTCACTGCGCCACCTAGCTGCCCTCAAAATAACCTTCTTAAACCCAGCTCTGATCCTGCTGCTGCCTAGCTCAAAAATCTTCAGTGGCTCCCTCTTACCTCTTAGTTAAGATTAAAAAGTCCTCAGTCTCATAGTTAAAGCTGACTTCTGTCTCTCTTCTCTTCCCAGTTTTTTTCTTCATTTTATTCCCTTTCATGTGCTATTCATCCAGCCAAACTGCACTACCTATGATTCTTCCGCCTTGCCTTCCATCTCTAGCCTTCGTGCACTTCTACCGCCTGCCCCCAAGCCTGGCAAGGGCTCCCTCCACATCTCCATCTGCTTGTACTGCCACCTTCCTTTGAAGCTCAGCTCAGTCACCATGTTGTTTGGGATGCTTTCCTGGGTCTCCTCTGCCTTGCTGCTCCGCCCTCCTCTTGCTGGTACTCTTACCAAAGATCATAGGATCCTCAATTCAGATCTGGAATGGAACTTAGATGTCACTGAGTCCACCAGCCCATTTGAGAAAAGTGAGGCTCAGAGGGATGTAAGTGACTTGCTCAGGGTCACATAGCAGGAGTGTCTGAAGCAGGATTCAAATCCAGGTCTTCCTGATTCCCAGCCGCAGCACTCCATCCCCTATGCCACACTGCACTCCCCCTTCTGGAATGATTTTGTATTTACTAATCTAAGTCCATGTTGTGTCTCCACCCCCATCCCTTTTCTTTTGCCATGTTCCAGCAGAATGGAAGCTCCTTAAGGGCAGGATCTAATTTGGTTTTTGCCTTTGTACCTCCATTCCCTTTATAACACAATGCCTTGCATGGAGTAGATGCTTAATAAATACTGGTTGATTGTTTTGTATCCCTAGTCTAGCAAAGTGCCAAGTACATAATAGTCACTTAATAGATATGTTTGAGTGTGATTGAGGGGATTGGATTAGATGACCCCTCAGGTGGTTTCTGGCTTTAGATATTATTCTCTGTCTGGGGCAGACTCTTTGGACAATCCATAGCATTGGCTGCAGAGAAAAGGAGAGATGAGCCCTGGGCCCCAACATGGGGTTGAGTTTGGTTTCTTTTGGACTATATCTGTGATTACTTTGATAAAGGGAACTCTCAGGTGAGGAAATTCCTTCCACTGGCACAGGTTAGCGCCTTCTCAGAGATGTATAGCCTTACAGACTTTCCTAGAGCACTTAGAGGTGACACGATTTGTTCAAGGGTCGCATAGCCCGTATGCGTCAGAAGCAGGATTTTAACTCAAGTGTTCCTGTCTCCAAGGCCAGCTCTCTACCCACTGGCCCACCCGGCTTCTCCCTGCCCCAGGTGAGAGATGTCATCCAATTCCCTGAGTCTGAGAGGCATTGCCACCCTCCCCTCCATGGACTGTGGAAGTAGAGACATCCTCTTCCTGAGATCAGGACAGAGCTCTGAGGAGCGCGATCGGGGGAACTGGTACCCAAGGAAGGCTTCAGTTCAGAGAAGGCTGGCAGCAGCCCAACAAGGATGGAGCCAATCCAAAATGATGGCTCTTATTTTCCACTCAAGATTGTTGTCGAGATGGAATAACCATTAGATACACTCAATGCAGAGCCTTCAAAACCCCTCAGGCAATAACCATCCCATTCTACCCTAGCCAAAAGGGAGGGGGAAATTGACGTGGAACAGATTTCAGTTCTCATTAAACCTCATTATGGTTTGTGGGATTCAGAAATGGAAGGACCTTGGAGGTGGTTGAGCCCAACCCCCTTATATTACTGAGGAGGAAATGAGGCCCAGAAAAGTGAGGTGACTTACAGAGATACAAGGTCACACAGGAAATAATAAGAAAGTCGGGGTTCAAATTCAGGCCTTTGGACATGGTACCACACCCCCCCTTTTCTGTTAGTGGCAGCCCGTAGCTTTGGCCCTTCCACTAGGGTAATGGTCTTAACCCGGGGTCCATGAACTTGCTTGAAAACATATTTTCATGACTGCATTTCAATACAATTGGCTTCCTTTGTAATCCAATGTGTTTTATTTTATGCCTCATTCTGTGGAGAGGTGCATAGGCTTTACCACACTACCCAAAGGGGCTTGGACACATAAAAGAACCTGTGCACTTGAGTGTGTAGGGAAGCAAAAAGGTGCTGACTCCTCACACATGTTGTTGTTCAGTCGTGTCTGACTCTTCATGACCCCATTTGGGGTTTTCTTGGCAAAGATACTGGCGTGGTTTGCCATTTCCTTCCCCATCTCATTTTATAGATAAGGAAACTGAGGCTAACCGGGTTAAGTGACTTGCCTAGGGTCACCGAGCCAGTAAGTGTCTGAGGCCAAATTTGAACTCACGTCTTCCTGATTCCAGGCCTGGCGTTCTATCCACTGCACTACCTAGCTGCCC